TTTGCATTTTTGAAGGTCTAAACACAGACAAGAACTATAGTCCACCAGTTTTATTGAAGCAGCATTGGTGTGAGGCTCCACCATTCTCTACCCAGAGACTGCCTGCCCCAACTCCAGACTCAGTAAGGAGGTAGACGTTGGTTGCCTTCTTTCAGTCATTCAACAAACATATGTTAAGCTGCTGTTGGTGCCAGGAACAACCCAGCAAATAAAATAAAGGCAGCAGAGAAGCAGGATTTGGAAACAGCTCTATACCCCCAATCAATCGTAAGCACATTTCCAGAGCCAACCAGCCCAGCCACTGGTGGCAGATTGTTGAACACAACAGTCACCAACACCTTTGTACCAAACAAGAAGCCATCTCCTACAGCATTAAGGCAGGCAGCCAAGACACAAAAAGGGTTTCATTTGAGAAGGAACTAACAATTAGTCGGCACACATACTGAAGATATTCATTAATAAGAAAGCAAATTTGGTGTATATTCAATTCCCTACACCAGCTTTCCTAACAATTTTCCATTTCCAAACACAACTTTTGATTGTCCAAAGAAGCCAGCCTGCAAGCATACTAAGGTAAGCTAAGACATTAAATACAAAGAATTTTCAAAGTAAAACTACTAAGAATGTGTTTAAAATGTTTATTGAACAAAAGATATGAGTTGCCATCAAATAATATGAAGATAGACTATATTTCACATACAAACCACATTTTAACACGATTAAATGTAAGTATATGATTTTTTCCCTCAGGATAAAAGAAAAATCCATACTGACCAATTCATGGTGTGTCATGAGATAAAGTTATTAAGAAAATCAATATAGTAAAAAAAAAGTTTAATCAATGCAGTCTTTACAAAAAGTTGCTCATTTTAAGTCTGTCAGCTAGCTTTTTATTTTCTATCCAGTCACTTGGTTCACAGCCTTAAAAAATAAGACAATTTAAGTAGAAATAAATTTTTCTTGCCCCCAAAAATTCAATATAGTATCTGTCACTGTCCTGTGTGGATCTCACATCTTTCTCTTTTCCTATTCCCTACCACCACTTCTCAAAGCAAATGTGTTCTTTGGGAACATGGCTCTTTTCTAGTTGTTTGGAGAAAAAGTCTGTCATTGGAGGTGGGCCACATATATAGAACAAAGTCTCTTCTGAAATATGATCTCTTATCTCCTTCTCCATTATTCTTCCTTCTACCAAAAAATAGAATAAACACAAAATTAGACCAGGCATGTTTGTATTCACACGTAAAGGAGGCTAACCACAACTCAGCAACAGTGTCTATTTAAGTAAACTCAAGCATAGTGAGTCTAGTCTTGAGTCATTCACAGGATGGCTCCTGTTGGCACTGGTGTCAGCATGGAACCAAGACCCAGGCAGAGAGTTCATTCCCAGGTTTCCTGAACCTATGGCAAGAAAGTGGGAAGCTTAATATAATGCACTCTTGAGAGAGCCAGCTAGCTTACTGCTTGTTGGTGGAGACTTTTGTAAAATCGTTCAAAGCAGGAGAAACCACAAGCAATTTAAATGATCATTAATGGCAAATGGAATCAATTCAGCTATGGCTAGAATATACATTCTCAGTGTATATTTATACACTAGGAGCTCTGGTGGCACTGTGGTTAAAGCACTGGGCTGCTAACCAGAAGATCAGCAGTCCCAACCCATGAGCTGCTCCTGGGAGAAAGATGACACAGTCGGTTTCCATAAAGATTTACAGCCTTGGAAACCCTATGGGGTAGTTCTACTCTGTCCTATCGGGTCACTCTGAGTTGGAATTCACTCAATGGTAGTGGGTTTGGCTCTCTGGTTTGGTATGCATACTATAGTGATGACATAGAGGCCTCCTAAAAAATGAGAAAAATAAAATTTTAACATGGGCAGTAGAAAACCTGTATGTAATAAGTCAAGCCCACTAAACCTCTCTTTATTTTTTCAGGATGAATGATCTCTCAGTTCCCCAGGTAGTGACATTCCTGGCCTTCAACTCTCAACAATAAAGCATCTAAACTCAGCCAACTGGCATGTCTAGCAAATAACTGCATGGAGACAGACACAATATCTTTAGGGGACTCACCCATGATGTATGGCTTGAGTTCTGCACTGATTTGTGTAGTCTGCCTCGTAACATGCAAACTGCATGCAATCTTTTCAGGAAATTCATTTACTAAATCGAGAATATTTTTCTGGAATGTCAAACATATTTGGTCACACTACAATTTTAAAAAATCAAAACAGATGTGCACAACCACTGACGCCGAACCCGGACTCCCACTCAGCACGTGTCTGCCACTGCTGTTCTCTACTTAGAGATAGAATGTCTGCAGCCTCGCAGGCCAGAGCATTCAGAGCACAGAGGGCTATTTGGCTTTAATTGAAATCCGAATATGCTAACAAGCGTATTACTAACTCTCCGGGAGTTTTTCCTTTTTCTTTTTCCCCCAGCATTGGCAATTAAGCAGCAGTTTCACTGACCACAGTTGTGTCTTTTAACTGTTTCTGTTCTTTTGTTCTTGCAGCTGCAAAGCCATCCAGAATGAACGCCTTCTCCATCAAATGTACTTAGTTTCAGCAGAAGCAACTGATGGGGGTTTCATTTACCTAGTTGCACCCAAACTATCTGCATTTTATCCACTCCTGTGACAGAGGAGCCCATGGGTCAGTCTCAACTCTTTGGATCTCAGGGCCATGGTGAGTTTTCTGTTCATTCGCCTTCAGATTCAAGCCCATCAAATGTACCCCATCCTGTCCCTTAACTGGAAGCTGCCTCACCATTAGCTGTTTTAATGGTCCCATGTAAGATGTCATAGTTAATTCTCATTTGAACACAATTAAGCATTGTTAAGAGAAACAACACTTGATTAAAAGAAAACAGAACTGAGATATGAGAAACTTTTGTAGATCATTAATACCATTATATAAGTTTGCTTATAGTAAGCTACAAAACTTATGTTTCTACCCTCCCCCTTACCTTAAACAGGAGTTCACTGGTGTTTTTTGCACTGTAGAATAGTTGTATTGTCCCTATCTCATACCCACTTCCTTTGTTTGCCCGCTCTCTGTGGAGATCTGCTGCATGCCGCAGGATGGAAAGCAAGGGGTTAATTCCTACTCCTCCTGCAATCAACACGAGGTTTCTAGAGGCATCTGCAGGCTGAGGGTCAAAGAAGAACTCTCCACCCACTCTCAGGGCCACTTCAGCGTCAAGTGTACACTAAGGCAGGAAAGAAAAGATCTGTTAGTCCTTTCTCTGTAGCGCACATCTTCAACCAAATAAGCTTCTTTAATAAAGGTCTACCTCCTGCATTTTTATCAGTATGTAGGATGGTTTTTATAGCTTGCTCTCACCTGCCCCTGGGCCTGTGACATTGTTCTGGTTACCTAGTGCCACTCTGACAGGAATATACCACAAATGGGATGGCCTTAACAAACAGGAGTTTATTCTCTTACAGTTTGGGAGGCTTTAAGTCCAAGTTCAAAGTGCCAGGCTCTAGGGGCTGTGTGAAAGCCCCTCGACCTTGGGCTTCAGCTCTGCCTCTTGCTCGTGGCTCACTGAAGCTAGAGGCTTTTCTTCACTCAGACAGCTGCTGGCTGCTGAGGCTAACAAAGCTCAAGGTTGACAAATAAAAAGGCACAGTCCCGATGTTACCAAACCACACAACAGGCCATTAATTTAAGTCCATCGTAAGTCCCAAGGTCGGCAGAGCATGGCAGGCTGCTGAACAATGACATGGCTACATGCAGGGTCCAAGCATGCCATAGGCTAGAGACTATTCCAAGGCTGCTTCTTATATACAGGAAGCAGACCACATCCCTAAGGCAGCTACTCACTGCTCACAGTAGATTCCACCATGCAGTTGATTACCAATTTCATCATGGGAAATACTACATCTAGCTGCCCAGCCACATCGACAAACAAACCAAACAACCACAGACATGGTTCCACTTGTCCATTATATAGGCCATTTGCTTTTCCACTTTCCTGATCCATACTGCACAGCCACTCCAGTATTGAGAAAAGGAGATTCTCTTTAGTAATTCTGCCATTTGTTTACTTCTCAGGTAATGAACTGGGATGAAGAAAGTGGTAATAGACTCAGGCAGGAGACAGCCCTGAAGTATGGCTCTCCTTTACCTGAGCAGTGCTCCTATGTCCTGATAAAAGCCACGGATGTTGTGGGAGCTAAGAAAGGCTGGGGGCGGGGGGTGGGAGCAAGTGTCACTGAACTGTGGCTGCCCTGGGCTCCTCAGGACTGAGAAGCGTGAGCACTAAGGCCCCCTCCTGAGACAAGCACAGTGCTGCTCACCTCTCCCTGGAGCAGCAAGAACAGGCAGCCGAGGCATCACAGTAGGGTTCAAGTGTGGTATATACATACCTACCTAGGTAAAGCACCCACAATTTGGTGTTTGTTACATTAACTATGAATTTCTTTTCAGGATAGTTCCAGAGAGGGAACACAAGATCTGACTGAGTTTGGAGGAAAATTAAGTCTTCTAGGAGCCAGAAGACTTGGGTAACAGCACCTGTCCTGCTCACCTCATAGGGATGTTGTGGCCATCAAATGGCACAGTGTAGGGGTAAGCTCCTGCAACACAGAGCTCTATTTAAAGGAACATTCTGTCATAGTGGCTATCATGGAAGAAAAAAGCACTGAGGGTGTCTGCTTCCTTCTTCCCTGTCACTAAAAAATAGACTCTAGGAATAAAAAAGTTTATATTAAGAACTTAAGTTAGGTTCCATTATTCCTGACATAAATCAACTAAATAAACTTCCTTCTAAGAACTAATGATGTATATCACATGCTTTCTGGGCCAAGGCCTAACATGTGCATGAGGGCACTTCACATGGCAGATGAACCGAAAGCACTTTTAGACATGAGTTTAATTTGGAGCTCTATGACTTGAAAGAAGAGTTAAACTTACAGAGAGCCTAAGAAAGAAATAAGAATTATGTGAATTCACAAAACAAGTCCTTTTTGTTAAAGAATTGTTAAGTGAATGGAAATCCTTTCTCTGAGGGGAAAAAAATCTGAACTTAACTATTTTAAATACATAGCAGATTTTTACATGAAGGATGGGTAAGAAGGTTTTCATTTTTGACAAAAGAAATTAGCAGCAAAGAAGCATTCTGTTAGGAATAACTAAAATCTAGGAATTGCTACACAGGTTACCTAAGTGTCTTAAAATGCTCCTTCCTTTCAAGTCTCTACAATAGAATCTCTGATACAAGAAGCTTTGCCTAACAATGGCAATGCATTTAATCACCCTATGTCCTCTTCCAGGGAGCTCTGGTAGCATAGTGCCTAAGGCACTTGACTTCTAACCAGAAGGCTGGCGGTTCAAACCCACCAGCCACTCCTCAGAAGGAAGATGGGGCAATCTACTTCCGTAGTGATACTGCCTCAG